GAGAGAGAGAGAGACAGAAAGTGAGAGAAGAGAAAGAGAGAGAGAGAGAGAGAGAGAGAGAGAGAGAGAGAGAGAGAGAGAGAGAGAGAGAGAGAGGAGAAAGAGAGAAAGAGGAGAGAGAGAGAAAGAGAGAGAAAGAGAGAAAGAGAGAGAAAGAGGAGAGAGGAGAGAGAGAGAGAGAGAGAGAGAGAGAGAGAGAGAGATATGGAGAGAGAGGGAGAGAGAGGGAGAGAGGGGGAGGGAGGGAGGGAGGGACAGAGTGTATGTGTATGTGTATGTGTGTGTGTGTGTGCGCGCGCGCGTTTGAGAACGGGTCGGGACAGGAATGAATGAATAAATGAAATAAAAGAATAAAAGAAGGAAGGGGAAAACGACGATAACGAAGAGGAGGAAGAAGAAAAGAAGGGATCAAAGCCAGAAGAAAACAAAAATGTACATAGAAAATCCTAGTTTATTTACATACGCGAATATTCTGTACATTCCTTTATCCACAGGACGTGTCACTTTCTCACTCGTTCGAATCCCTGGTTCAAGCTCTCAAGTCGCTCTCGCCACTTCAACTCGTTTCGAACACGTTTTTTCTTGTCCCCAAAGTCCTATCCAAAAACATTCCGTAGGCCTATCTAGCCTTTCTATTTCTATTGGGATTTTGTCTGTACGTGAGTTTGTTCATGTCTTCTTATATTTTCTATCTGTTTATAGGCCTATACAAACTCCTGTCGGCTCATATGATTCTCTCTTTTTTTCCTTCCTTCTCTTTCGCATTCTCTTTTCTTTTTCCTATTATTCCCTTTCTCTCTTTTTCTGTTTTTTTTTGTGTCCCTTTCCTCTCCTCTATTTATCCGTTGTTATCTCCTGTTACCTTTTTCCCCTACTTCTGCATTTTTCCTCTTCTCCCCTCCCCTTTCTTTTGCCTTTCCTATCCCCTCTTTCCCTCATCTATTCCCTCTTCCTTTCTTCCTGGTTTCTACATCCTCTTCTTTTCCTCCCTCTCCTTCTCCCTTGCTTTCTCCCTCTTTCTTTTTTATCCCATTTATGCATCCTCTCCATCTCCCTTCCTCTTTCTCTTTACCTTCTCTCTCTCTCTCTCTCTCTCTCTCTCTCTCTCTCTCTCTCTCTCTCTCCCGCTTTCCATCATCATATCCCCGTCTCTTTTCCTCTTGTTTCTCCTTCTACCCGTTTTTCGCAATCGCCCTCGCCCTATTTTCTAACCTTCCTCTCTCTCTATCTGTCTGTCTATACGTCAGTCTGCTTGTCTAGGTGTCTGTGCCAGCCTGTCGGTCTGTCAGCGAGTGAGTGAGTCTGCCTGCCTGTGCGTCCGTCCGTCTGTCTGTCAGCATGTGAATGAGTGAGTGAGTGAGTGGGTGAGTGAGTGGGTGAGTGAGTGGGTGAGAGGGTGGGTGAGAGGGTGAGTGAGTGAATGATTGAGTCTTTCTGTTTGTCCGTCCGTCTGTCTGTCAGGAAGTGAGTGAGTGAGTGGGTGAGTGAGTGAGTGGGTGAGTGAATGGGTGAGTGAGTGAGTGAGTGAGTCTTTCTGTGTCCGTCCTTCCATCCGTGACTGTCAGCCAGTCAATCTATCAGCGAGTAAGTGAGTGAGTCTGTCTGCCCGTCCGTGTGTCTATTTGTCAGCCAGTCAGTCTGTCTGTTAGTCTGCCTGTCTACCCGCCTGTCCCAGCAAAGCCAAAACAAAGGTCCTCTGATGTGGGGGACCTCAGCTCTCCCTAACGTTTCCATTCCTTTGTTGCATCTCATTTGAAAGGAAACAAAACAAAAAAAAAAAAAAAAAAAAAAAAAAAAAAGGAGAGAAAAGAGAATAAAACCGATGAAAGAGGAGATAGCAGGAGAGGATAAGAATAAATTTCAGAACGCATGAGGAAAACGAGACGGTAATCACGACAGGATCGTAAGAAAGAGGGAGAGACATAAAAAAGACGATAAAGACGTACACAACAGAGAAGAGAATAATAAGGGAAGATAAAGTGAATGTTACAAAGAGAAGGGTAAATGAAAAGAAAGAGAGAGTAAGAGAGAGATGATAACGAACAGAACAGACAAGAAACTCTTGATTCCACGAATTTCCTTACGTCTGAACTGCCTACGAAGCGTTGCAATGCATACAATATTCATGGCATGTTGCACGCTGAACAATAATGAACACTACATTTCCTTGTCTCAAAGCTAACGCCACAATGAATGTGGTCATTTATATACCTTAAGGTCATTTACATATAAGTTCTGTTTCTTAACTGTACGTCAAGTTAAACGAAAAATCAAGCATAGTTTTGAAACCTTATATTCGTAATATTTCTTTTTTTTACGCGTGAGAATAAAGTCCGGGGGATAGTTTTATGGGAAAGAGAGAAGCGTTGGGGACAGTTACGTTTACCTGAATAAATATAGAACGACAGTTTGTTTGTTTGTTTTTTAAGCATTTAGCCGTTCAATAGTCTGTCTATATTTTTTTCGCTTTCCCTCTATGTCCCTATGAATCTCTTTCGCTTCTTCCCTTTCTCTCTCTGCCTCTGCCTTCCCTTTCCCGCCTCTCTCTCTCTCTCTCTCTCGTCTGTGTGTGCGCGTGCGTGTGTGTACGTTCGTGCGTGTGTGTGCGTGCGTGCATGCGTGTGTATGTGTGTGCGTGTATGTGTACGTGCGTGTGTGTAAGTGCGGTTGTGTGTGTGTGTTCGTGTGTGTGTGTGCGCGCGCGTGCGTGCATGCGTGTGTATGTGTGTGTATGTGTGTGTATGTGTGGGCGTGCGTGCGTGCGTGTACGTGTATGTGTGTGTTCGTGTGCGTGTGTTTGTCATCCATTCCTACTCCCGGAACTGCCTATTCTCATCCTCCAATGAATAGCTCAGTCCACGTCTTGTTTACCGGCATTGTGAAATTATCTCATTCTCTGCACATTTTCCCTCTTATGCTCTCAACATGATCTGATTTAGAGTCCTTCTATGTCGTTATTTTCGCCACGGATAGAAAAGGTAAAAAAAAAGAGAAAAAAAGGAAGATATGAAAAAAGAGAAAAGAAAATGATGCTTCGTGTTATTTTTACACAGAGTAAAAAAAAAATAATTTGGCTAATAAGAGAAATAAGGTTAATAAGAAAAGATAAAATAATTATCATAATTGTTATCATTAGCATAACAAGAGTAACAATAATATTAACAACAACGATAATAACATACAAACAGCCAATTTCACGGAGCTCTCTCTCTCTCTCTCTCCCCCCCCCCTCTCTCTTTCTCACACACACACACAAAAGAAAAGAAAAGAAAAGAAAATAATCTCGTCTCCTTCCGTTTCCCAATTTTTCGTCGGTCACATTTTCTTATCGCATTTTTCCCTAGATTATCCCCTTGCCATTTTACCTTCAAATAAAAAAAAAAAAAGACGGGATTCTAAAAATGTGGACTCATTCATTCTTTGCAACATTCCCCCCCGCCCCCCGGTTTGAAGTTTTAATATGTTGGCAGCGATCAAATGGACATTTTTTCATATCTCTCTTTTGGTCATGGTCGTAAAAAAAAAGAAAAAAAGGAAAAAAAAGAAAAGAAAGAAAAAAAGAAAGAAAGAAAAGAAAAGAAAAAAGAAAGTGTCTATTTTCTTCCTTATTTTACCATAATTTCAACATTATCAATTCAACTGATTGTACTTGAAAATCACTCGTTAAACGGACATTTTACTTAAACACCAGTGAATTTCTCCCGCAAATCCAACCTTACCCACAATATTTAGTGAAGCAATACCCGTTTCGTCCGCATATGACTTAGTCGTTCTCACTGATTAAAATACTGTGGTTTTGATACAGAGAGATTTATAACGATAAGGATTTTACGTCACGAATCCCCTCGCTTGAACTGAGTCGGTGTAGTCTTTCAATCGATGGGCTTTTGGCTTTGGCAGTGAGAGGCCGATGCTCCGAGTGGATTGTGCCCTTTCTAATCGGTGAGTTGATTATTCATATCTTATAAATAAACAAACAACCACAATCGTATATAAGGACCAAAATAATGGCAAATCGGAGGCACACACACACACACACACTGTCAAAAAAACACACACTCTCCCTCTCTCTCTCACACACACAACACACACACACACACTGTCAAAACACTCTCTCTCTCTCTCTCACACACACACACACAAACACAAACAAGCGCACGCTTTACCTACCCTTTTGATTCGAGACCAAATCAGCGATAATTGGCCCCCATTTCATGTCCCGGCATTTGAGCTATTTATGGATCCTCTTCCAAGGACTTGCCCTCGGTGTTTGACGTACATATGTCAGACTGGAGAAATAAGATCGTGAGGTTTCCGGAATATTCTCAAGATATCGGCGTAATATTGTTTGAAGATGGATGTGAGGAAAAGAGGCATATATATATATACATACTATATCGTGAAAGAATAATGCAATGCCGCATTGATATGGATATATGACAATCCTCCGTGGTCAGGCCTGGACAGGGAGGACTGTTCTATACTGTATCATGTGCTGAATTATACACACGGTATATTTTCGATATCAAAATCTATCTACATTTGCTTTTCTCTCTTCCCTCTTTCTGTCTCCCTTCTCCTTCTTTTCGTTTTCCTTGTAGCTCTTCTTCTCTGTCCTCATTCTCTCTTTCGTCTCCCTAACTACCTCTTCTCCCTCCCTCCTTCCCTTTCTCTCCCTACATCTCCCTCTCCCTCCTTCCCTCCCTCTCTCTCTTTCTCCCCATCCCCCTCCTTCCCCTTCTCTTCACCTTCCCTCTCTTTTTTCTCCCCCTCGCTCTTCCTCCTTCCCTTACGCTTCCTTTTCCCTTTCCCTTCCTCCCTACCCTTACCCCTACCTATCTCTCTCTCGCACTCGCTCTCTCCCTCTTTCTCTTTCATCCACCTCTTTCCCGCTCTCTCTCTCTCTTTCTTTTTGATACACCTCTTTCATGATCTCTCTCTCTCTCATCCACCTCTTTCCCGATCTCTCTCTCTCTCTCATCCACCTCTTTCCGACTTAC